TTTGGGGTTTGGGTTCTAGGGCTTAGGCTAGCTACTGACCCCACTCAGTAGCGGTTGAATGGTATCTACACTTACAATACAGATATGTAAGGCCCCGTAATAGTAGCCCGATTGTAGACTGTTACTGTATGGCGGGCAGCACCCAAGGTTTACCTGGAGCCTCAGAAACCTACCTTTTTTTTAGGGTTCCTTGATATGCTGTCCTTATATAAGTCCTTAAAGGCCTTAAAAAAGGTAGGTTCTTTGGTTTCAGGGCCCTAAACCCGAAACCTTGAACCCTAGCCCTGGGGGTTGTAGGATTTCGGGCTTTCAGCTTTTTCCTTCCAAACCAGGGCACTAGCACAGCTTTCGCAGCCTGAATACCATCCCCCAAGCTAAGCCGGAACGCCACGGAGACCTTTGTAGGGATTCACGGTTTAGGGTTTAGCGTTTTGAAGAAAGGACAGCAGTGTATAGTACGGTTTGGAGTTTAGGGGTTTAGGGTTTAAGGTTTGGATCTTGCATACCTTTCTTGACATGTCGAGCCTCTCGATTTGTCTCGCAAGTAACCCTAAACCCTCAACCCTAAACGCCTTTTGGCTCCGCTTGAAACAAGTTTGCGCCCCTGACCTCAGTCGAAAGTATGTCCGAGGAACTAGCTTGCTACTTTCCGGTTTAGGTTTTCTGAGTCTAGGGTTTCAGGGTTTAGGGTTTCAGAGTTTAGGGTTTCAGGGTTTAGGGTTGAAGGATTTAGGCTTCAAGGGTTTAGGGTGTCGGGGTTTAGTGCTTAAGGCCTTAAGGGTTTCAAGGTTTGGGCTTAAGGGTCTGAGAGGGATAGAACCCTAAACCCTAAACCCTAAACCCTCCCTTTTAAGGAACCCAATTCTAATTCTTAAGGCCCCCTTCTTTTTGCACTCAAGTCAACTGCGAAGCCAGGCATGATGAACGACGCGGCAGAGGCGGATGCCGCCCGCCTGCAAATAGGTTTTGGAGGATCGGGGGACTTAGTAAGTATTTTTCCTCCAGACTTTATAAGTCTCATAATTAACCCCAATTAAATTAGGACCCCTTTTAGGGTACATATAACTCTACTTATTTTTTCTACTTACTAAGTCCCCCGACCCCCCAAGTAGGGTCCGGGCCTTGTTTAGGGTTTAGGTTTCAAAGGGGGCCTAGAGGAAGAGCAGCCACTTCTCTGCGTTGGTTATGGCTACAGCTGGGATAGGTAGTCAGCTGGCTTAGGCTCGATTTTCGTTTGCAGACTGCAGTGTTCCAGCAGGGTGGCATATTATAGGGGCCTAAAGAATTATTACCTTTGCTAGTCTGCGGGCTCCTTATTCTGATTATAGTATAATATACCCCAAAGACCCTACAACAGGCAACCATACTTGCAGGAAATGGAGAGGTTAAAGATCTTCGGATGGAACGGTTGTAGACCTTTCTGGATGTACTTGCAGGCTGAGGGGACTTGGTCAGATTTCGTAATTCGTCCTAAAGATCACATGAAAGGTAGTTATCACTATGATAACCCCACTTCGGGGACTTATAACTCCAGTCATTAGCTGCTTACGAAGTCCCCGGAGACTTGAAGTAGACACTTCAGACCAGGCGTGGCTTGAGAGCGTTGAAAGTTCAAGCTTACAATGTGGAACCGTGATTAACAAAGCCCTTTCGTTTAGGGGCCCTCATACTGGTGGGCTATTACAATCCTTATTGTGGGAAGGTGGTTTCTTCAAATCCTGAAGCAATGAGCAGCGAGCCCCATATGGGATAGTTTGAAGGTTCACCGGAGCGACCTAAGTAATTCCTCCAAGCCCTACACCCCAAACCCTAAACCCCTTAAGCCATAAACCCGAAACCCCTTAAGCCATAAACCCAAAACCCTTAAACCCAAAACCCAAAACCCAAACCCTAAACCCAAACCCTAAACCCTAAACCCCCTAAACCCTATAACCCTAAACGCCAAGCCCTAAACCCCAAACCCCAAACCCAAAACCCTAAATCTCTGAGTTGCGACGACTCGAAGCCGGAACAGGCGAAACGTTTCGGTTTTGAGTTACCTCGGGATCCAGAACCCCACTGTTTCAATGATTATGCCTTATATTTCAGGGGTTTAGGGTTTAGGGTTTAGCAATCCAAAAACCCACCGCTTCAAGCGTTAATGCTTGGTCAGAACTTATTAGTTTGAGGTTTGGGGGCTACAGGCAAGCTCTAAACCTTAAGCCCTATATAAGTAAGATTAAGCAAGCCAGAGGCCAGAGACCCTCAACCCTTGGCCATAAGCCATATACTGGTATATACCTGGGTTTGGGTTTAGGGAATGCCTGGGTCCTGGAAGCCAAGGTGGCCCACATCAAGTACCCACCGCAGAAGGACGGACGCCCGGAGGCGCAACGACCTCCTACGTACAACAGCCGTATACAACCCAGAGACTCCAAAACCCCGCAATTAAGGAACATACCTTAAATTATAATAGGATCCCTAATATGATTTAAGGTATATTCCTCAATTAAGGGGTTTTGGAGTCTGTGGGAACCCTTACAGCACGCTATTGAACCTTAATCCCCCTGAGCCACAAAAGCCTCTGCACAGCCTCTGTGTGTGGCTTAGGGTTTAGGGTTTAGGGTTTAGGGTTTAGGGGGCTGAGAGATTTCTTTCGGGTTTGTAGGCTGCAGGAGGCTTGTGCAGGGCTTTATTCGGCATCATGGGGCTCACAGGGTTTACGTAAACGAGATTTATAGGGATTTGTGAGGGCTTATGGCGAGGACTTTAAAGCGAAGCAATGCGCAGCAACAAATAGCCAAGGTAGGGTTTAGGGTTCCCTAAACCCTAAACCCTGAACCCTAAACCCTAAACCCGGTTCAGTGTTTCGATTCCAGGGCTTTGGCTTTGGGGCTTTGGATTGTGGGGTCTCTAGGCTTCGGGGCTGGAGTTGGAGGGCTCGTAGTCCGCTTAGGGCTTAGGGTCTCGGGGTTTAGGGTTTAGGGGTCTAGAGGTTCAGGTTTAGGGGTTTAGGGTTAAGGGGTTTAGGGTTTAGGGTTTAGGGGTTTAGGGTTTAGGGTCTCGGGGTTTAGGGTTCAGGGGTTTAGAGGTTCAGGTTTAGGGGTTTAGGGTTAAGGGGTTTAGGGTTTAGGGTTTAGGGGTTTAGGGTTTAGGGGTTTAGGGTTTAGGGTCTCGGGGGTTTAGAGGTTCAGTTTTAGGGGTTTAGGGGTTTAGGGGTTTAGGGTTTAGGGGTTTAGGGTTTAGGGTTTCGGGGTTTAGGGTTTGGGGGTTAGGGTTTAAAGTTTACCGCTTCGTCCCTCAAGGCATCGCCACAGGTGCCACCTGGGAGAACTGGTCTTTGTGAGTGCTTGCCATCATTTCCCGGCTCCAAGTACCCTAAGATGAAGGTGCCTTAACAACTATAGAACTCAAAACAGGATGTGGGGCACACCTTTGCACGGGATTATGTTGTTAATGATTCAGACCCCAATGTTGGACTATAAGTTCACCTACAAGCGGAACTATTACCCGGTCATGAGTAGCACTGTTCCTTGAAGCAAACTTCCCACACCTTTAAGCTTGCCAGCGTGAAGTTAAACACAGCCGACCACTGATAGCCATTTGCGATATTAATATGGGGGGGGGGTCGGAATAATTAGTATTACGATTACTTCTATCTACTTGTAATACACAGCAAAACCCTCTTCCACTTTTTGTTAAAGGGACTCTATCTTCCCCCTCACCCTAAACCCCTAAATCTTGTTCCAATTAGTTTCGAGGCACCTGTCTCACGTAGTCCGACCCTATACCCTAACCCTACACCCTAAACCCTTACATAGTCCGATCTGCAGGTGCTCTTCCCGGTGTTCTTGCCCGGAGAGGGCACTTTCCACTGGATCGATTGGCCCCTGTGGCTTGCGTTTAGAATTTAGGGTTTAGGGGTACTTCAGAAATGGGTATAATATAGACGTGGCTTCATAGTTTATGCATGTGAGTAGTTCTGTTTTTTTTGGGTGCCTTTTTTAGGTCCCCAAAATAGTACGGCACCCTTAGAACACGAACTCTAAGCAATTGACCCTAGTTTAGAAAACTACCCAGGTGGTTGGCTTTAAAGTCTGCGCGTTCAGGCAACACCCCTTAGGACGGAAAGTATTCGGACCTGGAACCCAATCAAGCCCTATCGGTTTAGGGTTTGGGGTTTCGGGTTTAGGGCGTGCTTATCCGTTTCAGGCTTCAGTGGACCATCCGGAGAACCGCTCAGCAAAAGACATCGACTGCTCCGGAGTACAGCGGACCCCAGAAAGTTGGAACATGGGTTTAGGGAGATTGGTGCTAGGATCCCTTATAGTTTACCTTAAGGGCATGAGGAGATTAATGTTCCAACCTACTATAGGTCGATTGCTCCGGAGTACAGTCGAGGCCCAAAAGTTGGAAACCTAATAGCTTCAACCCCTAAGAGTAATGTACAGGGAGTCCCAGCACCATTTGTCCTTAATGCGGGCTCCAACTTTTTGGGGTTTGTTATAGGTCTTGGAGTGATTCACTCGCAGCCTGATCTCGGCTTCTGTGCAAAACCAGCGATACCCTTGATCACGTGCCCACAGAAGGGCATCGCGATCATCAAACCACAGACCAAGCTGTGGTTGTCGTGAGCAACATGGACAGGGTTTGCAGATACCTGCAAACTGGGGTGATGTCTTCCACTACCAGTCTGAGAGGTATTACACTCGCTTTTCGTGTAAGAAACCGGTGGTTTAAACAGTGACATTCGCGAATCTAGCTACATCCCCTCTGCTCGTCTCCACCTCGTGACAGAACATAGTGGAGACGGAAAGAGCAACTAAAAGAGCAAATCCCTAAACCCCAAGCCCTAAACCCTAAACCCCTAAACCCTTAACCCCTAGACCCTGAACCCTGAACCCCTAAACCCTAACCCCTAAGCCCTAAAGGTCCTGTTTGGGATAACGCCAGGGCCGTAGGATCTTAACTTGTAGGCTTTCCTTCGTATCGGATGATAGGGTCTACATGTTCTTATGACCTTAAGGACGAAAAGAGCCCTAAAGGTTCAGGATTTAAGGTTTAGGGTTTAGGATTTTGGGTTTGGGGTTTAGGGTTTAGGGCTTACCTTAAGGACGAAAAGAGCCCTAAGAGGGCCCAAGGTTCATATACCATTAGGGATTCATAGTGAGAGGAGGGCCCCTTCTTTTAAGGCTCTTTTTGTCCTTAGGGACAGGATCAAAAAATGCAACTGTCTATACGGTTTAAGGTTTAGGGTTTAGGGTTTAGGGTTTAGGGTTTAGGGTTTAGGGTTTAGGATTTCGGGTAGGGTTCCAAATGCCATGATGTAATAACAAAGTATGGTGGCAGCTACGGCGCAGGTTTCTCACCGAGCATCCCGAGTTCACGGAGATCAGTGATCGGAAGATGGTGGATTGGTGTCTTGTCTCGAAGGTTTTGGGAGGAGGGGTCGAAGTGATGCGCCGGCATAGGTTTTTGTTTTTCTTACTGGTGCTCTATACAAGGTTTCCAGGTCGTACCTTTAAAACCCTAAACCCAAAACCCTCCTTCTGTGTTTTTTGCATTGTTCGTTGAGGGTGGGTCTGCCTTTTACTGCTGGGCAACGTGCGAAAGGAATCTCTCGTTTCCAAGGACCTACTTGTGAACTACGGTTGATGATATAAAACCTGCATTACCCATGATAAGGAATATACCATACTTCCCATAGTTTTGGGTCCTTACCTAAACCCTAAACCCTAAGCCCTTAAGGTAATGCAGGGCTTATATCATCAACAGTAGGTTGGGGGTGGAGGTTTCGGGTTGGGACTGCAAGAGCTGTCAACACAAGGGTCGTATAAGCGGGTTTAAGCTTAGGCTGCACCCAGAGCCTCCCAAAGCCCTGAATTAATGAATCTAGGGGTTTAGGGTTTAGGGTTTTAGTGCATTCAGGGTTTAGGGTTTCAGGCTGTGGGAAGTCTCTTCTTAGGGGTCTCCTCCGTCCAGAGCTTGATTCTCTAGGGCCGTTTCTTTACCGGCTTCCCATGCAGAGAATGCTTCCAAAGTCGTGTTAGCTCGGGGCCATTGTCAGAGCACTTCCTTCTTGTAGTAGATAGGACTACAGGAAGCACAGCGCTGCGGAGTGATCCTAATTATACGCCCTACGTGTAGGTATATGTACTGACTTACTGCGCAATCAATCGGCCCTAAACCCTAAACCCTAAACCCTAAACCCTAACCCCTAAACCCTATAGTTCAATCTCAAGCAGCTTAAGCCACTGTTTCCTGGCCCGACTCTAAGCCCCAAAGCGCTAATGCCTAAAAGTTCAGGGACGTCAAGACTGCTACTGCCAACCTTGTTTTTTGCACACCCCTAAAGCACCTAAAACCTTACTTACTAAACCCTAAACCCTAAACCTAAGGTAAAAGAAAGCGATCATGTCTCAGGTGCCTGAAGAGTGGCATCAAGCGCCACTGGCGGGAGGCGACGAGGCCACTGCTACTGCAACCTGCTTGGAGGGTTGGGACTTAGTAAGTAGATATTAAGTACACGTATAAGAACCTTAAGAGGGATCCTAATGGGGGTTCTGGTACTTATAAGTCTGTAAAATAGCTAGTTACTAAGTCCCCCGACCCTCCAAGTGCAGACTTTGCAAACTCTAAACCTTCAGTGCTAAACCACGAAGCCCCAAACCTCAAACCCGAACCCCACAACCAATTAAATTCCGAGCCCTACCCTAAACCCTAAACCCTAAAACCCTAGACCCTAAACCCTCAACCAGGAAGCCGGAAACCTCGAAAGACTTGTAAGCCCTTAGCAGTATTTAGGGTTTAGGGGTTTGGGGTTCAGGGGTTTAGGGCTTTAGGGGTTTAGGGGTGTAGGGGTTTAGGGTTTAGGGTACATGGTAATATCATCTCGTGTGAGTGTCAGAAGTTTCAACTCCTTGAACTCTACCCTAAAGCCTAAACCCTAAACAAACTTGCAAAACCCCTGTTGAGCAGATCCGGTAAGACTGCTTCTGATCCTTCTCAAAACTTGTTTCAATGGGGAAAAGACGCACACACACACAGGAACCGTGGCTCAGAGAAATACGAACTAAACCCGAAAGCCCTACACCCTAAACCTTAAACCCTGAACCCCTAAAGCCCTAAACCCAAACCTTAAACCCTAAACTCCTAAAGCCCTAAACACTAAACCCTAAACCCCTAAAGTCCTAAACCATAAATCCTAAACCCCTAAAGCCCAAAATGGCCACGCACGTCCCTTTGCCTTGCAGGGCTTCGAACGACAAGCCGGCCGGCTCGCCTTGTTTGGGCCAAGGGCCAGGGTTTCGAGGTCTCGGGTTTAGGGTTCAGGGTTTAGGGTCTAGGCTTTGGGGTTTAGGGTTTAGGGTTTTGAGGTTGAGGTTTCAGGGTTTAGGGTTTAGGTTTCGGGTTTAGGGTTTAGGGTTTAGGGTTTAGGGTTTCGGGTTTAGGGTTTAGGTTTCGCGTAGCCGCCATAGGAGGCGACGGGGCAATGGTGGCTGGAGCGCATGTGGGGTTTAATAGGGTTCTTGGAAGGTGTGGTAGCGGTTATAGGGCTCTGGTGGCTTCTTACAGCTTCATGGGTTTCGGTAGGGGTTAGGGGTTTAAACCCTAAAACCCTAAACCCTGAACCGTAAACCCTGACCTAGGGTTTTGCTGGGTGTTAGACCCTAAACCCTAAACCCTAAACAAACCCTAAACCCTAGACCCTAAACAAACCCTAAACCCTAAACCCTAAACCCTAAACTTTTGTCTCCAGCCCCCAGAGACCTGAGTCGATCTTACGGTGGTCGGCTTCGGCGTGTCTTTTTTCCACCCTAAACCGTTTATGGTGTGGGGGTTTAGGGTTTAGGGCTTATAGGGTTTATAGGGTTTATAGGGTTTAGGGTTTAGGGCCTAGGGATTATAGGGTTTATAGGGTTTATAGGGTTTAGGGCTGAGGGCTTATAGGGTTTATAGGGTTTATGGGGCTTATAGGGTTTAGGGTTTAGGGTTGTGGCACGATCCTGCGACGGTTGGAAGCATGGGCCCTTAATATGGACCCTTAGGCCTGTCTAGGGACCCTTAAGAGTACATATTGGGTTTCTAGTAGGTGTGTAAGGATCCCAGGGTTAAGGGCCCATACTAGGGGCCCATGGTTTCAACCGTAGATTTAGGGTCAGGGTTTAGCATTTAGGGTTTAGCGGTATCTCGCAACCTTAAATTAACCCTAAACCCTAAACCCTAACCCCTAAACCAAAACCTTTAACCCTAAACCCTACACCCTAAACCCTACCAACACAAATCCCGTCTGTGGGCGATTCGGGAACATCCCGGGTGCTAGCCTTCGGTGGCATGTCCTGGGATCTCGGTTTGGCTTAGGGTTTAGAGTTTGGGGTCTAGGGTTTAAAGCTTGACCTGGAACCCTGTGCCCTATTCCGGGCAAAGACCGAGAGTAGGTGAAGAGTTAGTCACTTATAGGCCCTATTTGCGATTTCACTTTTATGTACCCTTTGCCCAGTCTCATCAGCAAGTCCTTAAACCCTAAACATCATTCTGGCCAGGAGACCAACTTTGGTATCTATGCCTTGGATGTGCCGGGCTCAGGGAGTTTGCGCACTGGGCGTGTAAAGGGTTTTACAGGATCCCTGCAAGGTAATATAGGGGCCTTAATAATTAGAGTAGGGTTCTGGGTATTTTATACTAAAGATGTAATAAGGAACCCACCCTATTCCTACATCATGGGGTTCTACAGCGTTTCCAGCAGAGGGTTTCATTGTCATATTGGTGTTTCAAGATGGGGCTTTGTAGGTGTTTTTGGATTTACCTCGCCTTCTGTGGGATCTTGTTTTCGATGTGTTTTCTTCGGACCATGCTCCTTCTTGTGTATAGTATAGTCGAAAGGAAGCTCTTACAACTGGTGCAGGAATGAGTAGCAGTATTCTTTAGGGTACCCTTGCATGCATATACAATATATACTTGACCGCCCGTGGGTCCACTTTTAGACTTTTAACTTTTTGTGGTGTTGTTCGGACCTTGGCCATGACTGTGCCCCGACACGAGGTAGGCCGGGGATTTAGAATTTACGGATTCGGTGATTTTGGTAGAAGAATGATTGGTGGGCATGTGCGTGTTTGGGATTTGGCTCAGGTCGCAGGCATTTTGCCTGCCACCTTTGAGATATATATATATATATACAGAGGTAGTTCTCTGAATTTGGGTCCCCTTCGGAGTCCGGTTTGTAAGGGTGCCGTAACATAATATATTGGGGACCTGGAATGGGACCCTAATTTAGAGAATTACCCAAATAAAATATAAGCCTATTTATTTATCAACTTATTCACTTATTTATTTATGCACACACCCTAAACCCTAAACCCTACACCCTAAACCCTAAACCCCAAAACCTAGACCGTACAGTGTAATGTACCCCAGGGCCCCATTCTACTTATGGAGGCCACCCCCACTCCTCAGCCCTCCGGGAGCTTTGAAAGTACGGAAACGGTTTAGGGTTTAGGGTTTAGGGTTTAGGGTTTAGGGTTCCCAGAGAGTCGGTTTAGGGGTTTAGGGTTTCGGGCTTAGGGTTTAGGCCCAATACCCCTTGCTGCAGTCATGTACCTTACAGTAAACGATTTAAGGTATATTCCTGATTCTAAGGGGTATTTGGCTCTCTGGAACCCGCCTAAACCCTAAGCCCCAAACCCTAAACCCCTTAAGCCTAAACCCTCTCGGCCAGTGTTCCCAGTGCAAGAGGAAAATTCCTTAAGCGATCTTAAACCCTACAAAACCCCCTACATGGACCCTCAAAGCAGCCCTTAAAGGAACCCTACTTTAATGTATAATTCCTGAATAAACAGGTATTGGGATCTCTGGGTGGTATCCTTTAAAGGAACTCATAAGCAGAGCTCTTTGAAGGAACCCTCGGATTCCCATAAGCAGAGCTCTTTCAAGGAACCCTAACATCCCCATACTTAGACCCCTTTCCCCATACTTAGATCCCTTAACAGGAACCCTAGGACCCCTATAATTAGATCCCTATAAAGGAACCCTAGGATCCCCATAAGTAGATCTCTTTAAAGGAACCTTAGAACCCCTCTTGGGATCTCAGGGTCCCTAAGTAACAGCGTTTCTTCAAGGGTTCGTTTAGGGTTTAGGGTTTAGGGGTGATAGTGTTTCTTCTGGGGTTCGTTTACGGTTTAAGGTTTAGGGGTGATAATGTTTCTTCAAGGGTTCTTTTGAGGGTGTTTCTAAGAGGTCAATACTTCGAGTTTAGGGTTTGCGGGATTGGTTTGGGGTGTAGGGTTTGGGGTTTGACTTTTGGTTCAGGTCTTTGGGTTTGGGTTCAGGTTAGGGTTTTGGGTTTCGGGTTAGAGATTTGGGATGTGCGGGACATCCCCCAAGTACTTTGTAACAGGGCCCTTACGGTCCGGAATCATGGCTATGTAAGCGTCCACCGAGGGTAGTTGGGAGGTTCGGCGTGGTGTTTATCCCTAAACCACCAACCCTCAACCCCAAAACCCCCAAACACGATTTAGGGTTTAGTTTTTGGGGGTTGGGGGTTTTCGGGTTTGGGGTTAAGAATAAGCCCCCAAATCCCTAGACCCCCAAAGGCGACAACCAGTGGAGGACCACAGACAATCTTTGCCTTGGGCTGTGCACTCGTAGCAAATAGCCCATCGCAGTTCGACTTTCCCCTCAAAGGTCTGGATAGGGATTTAGGGGGTAAGGGCTTTGGTTTAGTACTTGGAGGGTCGGGGGACTTAGTTAGTAGATATCAAGTAGAGTTATAAGTACCCTAAACGGGATCCTAACTGGGGTTATAATACTTATAAGTCTACAACAGAACTAGTTACTAAGTCCCCCGACCCTCCAAGGAGAGCTTTGGTTTAGTATTCAAAGCCGCACGCCCAAGGATGGCACTGTGAAGAAGTCGCTGCTGTCTGCTGCTGGCATTCAGGGCCGCAACGTCGTGGTCCTTCCGGCTTGGGTTCTGCAAGGGTTGCTTGGGGCTTGTCTCGATGTTATACCTTAAACCCGAAACCCTAAACCGCTATATGCACCTCTCTCAACCCTAAATCCTAAGTCCTAGATCCCTGAAACCTCAAACCCTTGTATAACACTGACCTGGAACCCGAAATTTCGGAGTTCTTGGCACCACCAACCGCCGGCAGGTGTTAATCCTTACAGATGTCGCCTTCGGGAGGAGCCTAACTAATTCGCCTACATCATTTTAGGGGCTCCTTGTTATAGTTATAGTACAATATGCCCCAAGACCCTAATTGGTGAAGCCCTGACCCCAAACCCAAGAACGGAGGAGACTCGGAGAGGAGAAGCTTAAAGTCGAAATGAACCCTCAAGTGGTTTAGGGTTCATATACTATATCGGGACTCAGAGTACAAAGGTATAGGGCCCGTACTTTTAAGAGACATTTTGTCCTCAAGCCTTAATTAAACAGCCCTGAACCCTAAACCCTTAAACCCTAAACCCTAAACCTTAAACCCTGAAGCCCTAAACCCTAAACCCTTCAACCCTAAACCCTTTAGGGAAACCCCAAAAAGCATCCTGGGTTAGAGACCTTAAACCGTCAACTCCTGAACCCTAAGCCAGCTTGTTATGAAGGGGATACCGGGGAACCTACGGTTTAGGGTTTAGGGTTTGGGGTTTAGAGTTTAGGGTTTAGGGTGATAGTTCATTTCGCCATCGGTGCTTGGGAAGGCACGGAAGAAGGCGAATTCCTCGCGCAACTACAAAATGGTAGGTTGCGGCTGCGTAATTATAGGGCATACATATTTAATCTCGCGCAGAAAGCAGCAAGTTGTTGTAGCCCTCAAGCTGTAAATCGTAAACCCCATATTCCACAGTCCGCACTGACCTATATGATCTATTGCGTGTCGACGACTCGTGATTTAGGACGCTACTTGAAGTCAGAGGGGTCTTGGTACGTAGTCTTCACGCAGGATTTCGGTTCAGGGTTTAGGGCCTGGGGTTTTTGGCGCAGGATTAGGGTACTGGTAACTTCCAATTTCCAGTAGTACTTCCTTCGGTACTTAAATTATTGCTGGCATCCGTGTTACCAGTATTATGTCAGTACTTGTTAGGATCCAAATTAAGATACTATTGTTATTGTTACTAGGCTGCCGTGGTTGGCCTGCTCCTCCTCATCATCACTAGCAGCAGCATCATATTGTGACAGTTCTCGTTGTGGCTGCTGCTCCCTAAACCATTTCCCCTAAACCCTGAGCCCTAAACCCTAAACTCTAAACCCAAAACCTTAAACCCTTAACCCCAAAACCCTAAACCCTAAACTCTAAACCCAAAGCCCTAAACCCTCAGAGCTACACCCTAAACCCTAAGCCCTAAACCCTAAACCCGAAGCCCTAAACCCTAAGCCCTATTCGATGTTTGGCGACTGTAAACCTGAACTTGCCAGGTCGTGGAGATCCAATCCAACCTCGCAAAGCAGGCATTTAGGGTTTAGGGTTTAGGGTTTAGGGGTTTAGGGTTTAGGGGTTAGTGGTTTTGGGTTTAGGGTTTAGGGTTTATGGTTAGGATCGGGCTCAGGGATTTGGGTTATTGGGTTTGGGGTGTAGGGTTTGGGGTTAAGGGATTTAGGGTTCAGGGTTTTCGGGATTTGGGTTTAGGGCCAAGTTCAGGATTTTTGGTTTGGGGTCGTAGACTACCTAGACACCTCCATCTGCCCTCTATCAGAGCCTAAATGCCCATGATTTGGGACCATATACCACTGTTTCAGGGTACAGGGAGGGTCCTGGTAATATGTGTTCACTTGTTTTTGCTTTCGGGTTGCCTGTACCAACTGAATTCAGACGATATCAAAGAAGAATCCCTTCGTTGTTTCACTACGGTCCAGGATAGAGGGACGACTTTCAAGTCTAGGTATCTAGGGTATAGAGCAAGCCTAGTTTTCTAAAACCCTAAACCCTAAACCCTATAGACCCTATAAACCCTATAAGCCCTATAAACCCTATAAACCCTATAAGCCCAAAGCCCTAAACCCTAAACCCTAAACCCTGTAAGCCCGAACCCCCCCCCCCCCCCCCTTTAAACAAGCCTAAACCCTAAACCCTAAACCCAAAAAAGATGCCTGGAGGATCGTGCCACGCTCCTTCAGCTCTTCTCCACTCCCGGGCTGCGGCACACGGCCAAGGCCGCATCCTCTCGGCTGTCTTTTTGGTTGGCTTAGGGCTTAGGGTTTAGGGTTTAGGGTTTAGGGCTTAGGGTTTAGGGTTTAGGGTTTAGGAGTTAGGGCTTAGGGTGTACTTGGAGGGCCGGGGGACTTGGTGGCTTTGGGTTTAGGGTTTAGGGTATATAGGGTGTAGGGTTTGGGGTTTCGGGCTTTAGGGTTTAGGGTTTTAGGGTTTAGGGTTTAGGGGGGCTTAGTAAGTAGATATGAAGTAGAGTTACAAGTACCCTGAAGGGATCCTAAGCGGGGTTATGATACTCATAAGCCTGTAAAATAACTAGTTACTAAGTCCCCCGGCCCTCCCAGTAGGGTATTGGGTTTATGGTTTCTTTCCTAGGATTCCTTTTAGGATTTAGGGTTTGAGGTTCAGGGTGTACGTTTTTGGGCCTCAGGCGTAGAGTCTAGAGTGGTTTGAAGATGTTCAAAACAGGGCCGGGGTTTTGCTGTGTGTTCCAACTTATGTCAGGGTTTTCTGTGCAACTTCCCTCTCAAACGTCGTTTCCATCAAGATAACATCTTTGTGAACCCGAAACCTCAAACTTCCTAAACAGCCTATTAGGGTTTTGGGTTTAGGAGTTAAATTTACCTAAACTCCAAAACCTCCAGCAGGCGAGAGTTGATTTGAGCTTGGGCCAACAAGGCCCCATAACATCCTGTAGAACTCTAACAAGAGCATGCAGAAACCGTAAACAAGTTCCTCTGCGAAGTGAAACCGTTTGAAAGCAAATATCGAACCCAACAAACCTTATAACCCCCAAACCCCAAACCCATCAGTCGAAGATTAGAAGTATGGGCCCCTAATATGGACCCTTAGGGGATTCTAGGCACCCTTAGGGGTACCTATGGGGAAAATAGAATATGTATAGGGATTCCAGGCTTAAGGGCCCATACTAGGGGCCCATGGTTTCAACCGTCGAATCAGTTTAGGGTTTGGGGCTGAGGGTTAAAAGCCTTTTCCGAGAACTCCCGAAGCCTTACCTGAGGTGCTGATTGGAGAGCCCACGCCCGACTACCGAAAACACGCCGAAGTCTTAGTTGCTTCTTCTTTTTGTTCGGATTTCTTGGGGTTTAGGGGTTTAGGGTTTAGCGGATCTATGACGATCTATGTTCCGGTACTTCAAGGGGCCTTCAAGCGTCATCAGCCTAAGGAGGAGATCTAAAACGGAAGACTTTGGGTACTGTAGCCGTTGGAAATACCCGATTCCAAAACGACCACATGATGGGATCCCATTCTGGCTGCTTGGATTCGCTGGCAAGGACATGTCCAATGTCTCTCCGTTCGCTGAGTTCCCCAATACCCAACTGTTAAATCGTTTTGGGGGCTTATAATTTACTAATAATCTGAAAGTTTAACCTTTTATTTCCTTGGCTTATTGGGGAAGTACGTTGGTGGGGGTAGGAGGTACTAGGCACAGGTTGCTCTGTTGAAAGATTGCGGTCGGGATTGGGGTTCAGGATTTAGGGTTTCTGGTTTACGTGGACTCTAGGGCTTTTTGGCTTCATGGCTGTAGGTAAACCCTAAGCCCTAAACCCTAAGATAGATGCTTTGAGTGCCCTGCACCCCCCTATACCCTGCAGCCCACACTGGAAAACCCTTGGAGTCCTAAGCCGCTACGAACCCTGAACGGTTTAGGGTTCAGGGTTTAGGTTTAGGGTTGAGGGTTTAGGGTCTAGGATCCTAAACCCTAAACCCCCACCCCATCAAGACTCAGTGACAGATGCGACAACTGGACCCCTGAAGTTACTAACTAAGACTAGGTTGCTGAGTAGTACCCTTTTGTTTTTTAATTTCAGGGTGCCCTTATTAAAACCGAAGAGTAGGAAAAAGGTTACCTTTATTCTAAAGGGGCTACTCAGAAACCTAGACGAGACACCGATCTGTTCATAAAGCATCTAATCGGGAACGCCCCCGAGCTCAAAAGCCTAAACCTTAACGGGATAAGGGGTGAGGTGTCATGCTGAATGTCCTTATGTGAAGTATAGATGTAAGGGTTTAGGGTTTAGAGCACTGAATGTCCTTATATAGGGGCCTGAATAGCTACCTATACCCGGGGGTTCCTTGTTATGATTCTAGTATATACCCCAAAACCCTATTGAAATTATTAAGGCCCCTACATTATGTGAAGTATAGAGGTAAGGGAACAGATGCACCAGTGCAGCTCGGGGCACACAACCTGTCACCATCTTTGTTTGAGCCATGGGCATGCTTGCAGCTTGAGGCACGCAGCAATCTTCATACCACCTTTGGGTTTAGGGTTTAGGGTTACCTTTGAACTACCTTTCTTCATCATTACCTTTGATTCACCTCCATTCTTTCTTGGAATCACCTTTGAATTATGTTTTTGCTCCCTCGCCGTCATCAATGCCAACCCTTCACAACCCTAACCCTAAACCCCTCGAGCCCATCTGGTTCTCTAAAAGAGGGTCGCTTTTGGGGCCCTTTTATAAGGGTGCCATCCCTAAACCCTAAACCCTAGACCCCATTTAAGGACCTGAAAGGACCCTAAGTTAGAGAACTACCCATCACCTGAATCCCCAACCCCTATAACCAGCTCCTGAGCCCTCAACCTCCCCTTGTTCCGATAATCCCTAGAAGCCCTAAATGGGGTTTAGGGTTTAGGGTTTAGGGTTTGGGGTTTAGGGTTTGGGGTTTAGGGTTTAGGGTTTGGGGTTTGGGGCTTAGGGTTTAGGGTTTACTGGAAAAGCCTGACAATGCTCAAAACCCCGGGGTAGCCCCACATAGAATACTTACACAAATTTACAAAACCTTCATAACGCGCACGAAACTCATTTCAAGACACCAAACTGATAGGCTATTCCTAAACCCGTAAGTCCTCTACATTACCTTTCGAGATTCCCGAACGAAACCCTGAAAGGATTTGTTTAGGGTTTAGGGTTTAACACCTTGCGTCAGCATCTCCGTATAACTTGTCAAGGAACCCTTAAAGGAATCCTCCAAAACGACTAAAGGCTTCGTGGCAAAAGCCCTACAGTAAAGCCATTTTTTGACCCTTCAAAAACCCCTCCAAGCCCTAAACCCTAAGCCCGAAACCACCACAGACTATTCAAGAACACTTCTGAGCAGCGAGGTGTGTGAGATCCTCCTGAAAGAGAAGCAGATTCGCCTGGACAAGGCGGGCGACGCCACGACGCGTCCGGCCTCCTTTTAAGGGTTTAGGGTTTAGGGTTTAGGGTTTAGGGTTGGCGACGCCACGACGCGTCCGGCCTCCTTTTAAGGGGAGGGTTTAGGGTGTAACCCTAAACCCGAAACCACTAAACCATAAACCCCGAACCCTAAACCCGAAACCACTAAACCCAAAACCTCTAAACCCTAAGCCCTAAAACCCCTTAAAACCGTTTAGGGTTAAGGGTGTAAGGATTCCTTTTGCTAACGGTTTTTTGGGGTTCTTTAGGCTTTCTCTGGGTTTAGGGTTTAGGGTTGAAGCAAGTGCACGAATGGACTCGCAATGATGTGAGGAGCAGCAAGCTGTGGATTTAGATCCCGTGCATGGTGCCCACGGCGGCTAACCCCAAAACCCTAAACCCTAAACTCTAAATCCCGAAACCCCTGAACCCCTAAACCCCTGAACCCCTAAACCCCCAAACCCTAAACCCTAAACCCTCTCAACCCTTTAAGGTTCTTTTTGGCTAAGCCCTGAACCCTAAACCCATTTAAGGTTCCTTTTTGTCCTTATAGGGTTTAAGCCTGAGCACATCCCAAGCTTGAAGGCGCAAGTGCGAATCCGAAGCCCCAAGTAGGGCTTTAGGGTTTAGGTTTTAGGGTTTTAGAGTTTAGGGTTTTAGGGTTTAGGGCTAGCCCCAAGACTTCAAGCCCTAAGCCCCTACGGGTTTAGGGTTTAGGGCTTAGGGTGTAGGTTGTAGAACCTTTGTGGCCTTTGAGGCCTTTAAGGTCTTTTAAGTCTTTAGGGCTCTTTAGCTTAAAGGTTTTAGGGTATTGTAGAACCTTCTTATTCTTTTGGGGGTGCTATCTTTTAAGTTTTAGGGTATTGTAGAACCTTCTCATTCTTTGGGGCGTTCTAGCTTGAGGGTTTTGGGGTAGTGTAGAGCCTGATAGGAGCCCATAGTATCCCAGTCCCAAAGAGCCACAGGCGTTCTTTGGAAGGAACTACGACCCTGCATGGGCCCAAGACTACTGGTGATCCAAACGTTGTCGCGTGATTATTAGAGTGGGGTGTGGGTTTGAATAATTCTGGCCCGCCATCATATAATGGACTGTAGCGGTACTATAACTATAAGGGACACTATTAGTACATATTCCGAGTTCTAGAGTACGTAGCAGGGATATGTTTTTCAAGAGGTCCCCCTACCCCTTTTCTGTAAGGGTTTAGGGTTTAGGGTTCTGCCAGCGATGTAGAGGGCTTTTATGGAGTCTTGCAAAGGCTGGTAGGTTGTCTGGGTAGCAGCGTACACCCTTTTTGGGGCGCCTCGTTGTCCGAACCGAACAATAGGCAAGGGGTAAACCCCAACCCTAAGCTCTAAACTCTAAACCTCATTTCCCCTAACCCTAAACCCTAAACCCTAAACCCTAAACCCTAAACTCTAAACTCTAAACCTCATTTCCGATTGCCAGAACTGTTTGAGGTGTACCGCTGACGTTTTCGGGTTCAGGGTTCCCAGGTCCGACAAGACTTCCTGAAGCTGTTTCGGGGCTTATGGTTTCAGAAAAGCATCAGGGGCTCAGGTTAGATATAGGATTGAAGATTTTGCCCGGAACCCTAAGACCGAAAACACCAAAACCCCGAAAACCCTATAGTAACCCTAAACCCAAAGCCCCCAAACCCCCAAACCCTATGTAGTACCCCTCTCGAAGACGCTCGGCGGAATTCCGGAGAAGGATCCTCATAGCGCTGCGGTTTGGGATTTAGGGTTCCTTCTGGAATGTGTGCTCGGGGCCTTCGTTTTTAGGGTTTAGGGTTTGGGGCTTGGACCCTAAACCCTAAACCCGAACCCTAAGTGGGGTAGGCCGCCGTAAAGGCCTAGGAATGGGACTCTTGTGGGTTCCTGTTACGGCTTCCTTATTCTCAGAGCAGCTTCCACAAGGTGGGTTTAGGGTTTAGGGTT